AATCCTCGGAGCTCTGCTCTGTGGGCACCTCACTCGTGTGCTGGAGCAGGAAAAGGCAAAAAACTTCCTAAAAAACCCCCAGAAAACCAAACCAAAAGAGAAGGAAAAAAAAAGGAGAATGAATGAGAGTTGTCTTTCTTTCTGGCAAGCAGCAGATGCTGACACCTCTGAGAGGCTCTGAGACACCTGAGGAGTTTGTTCAGAGAAATGAGACCACATCAGGAGCATCAGCAGCAGCTCCTGCTCTGCTGGGGACATCCAGGGAGGGGGATTGTGGTGGGATCGGGGGGCAAAAGGCTCCCCAGGCACTTGGGCTGGGACTAAAAAACCAGATTTTCATCTTACAGCCAGTCCTGCCTAAGAAATGCCATCTTTGAGGGGCAGGAAGGCAGCACGGAGTGATCCCAAATCCACAGCGCACCCCAGAGGGAGGGAGATCTGCTCCTGGTGTGGAAAATGCTGATCCCTGAGGAAACCCTGCTGCTGCCACCCTTGCCATGGTCACTGCAATGTCCTGGAGATGTTCTGAGCAGGAAACCTCCCAGCACAGGGATGAGCTACTGGCAGCATTTCCTCCTGATCCCACACTTCTCCTGGCAGGTTCCCTTGGCTTTGCCCCCAAAGAGCTTCTGTGTGCTCTGAGGAACCCCTGAGGCACCTCTGTGACATTCCCTGGCTGCTCCCAGCTGGGTGAAGGCACTTGGAGCTCTTTTGTCTGGCTATGGAAATGAGGAAGGAGCCTGGAAGTTCCCAAGTTGAGAAATCACTGCCAAAAAGAAAAAATTAACCCTCCCCCAAACCCTCTCTTCCACCAGCTGTTCCTGACACCAGAGATTCCCTGAACAATGCCAGTCCCAGTGTCCCACTGAAGGTCACTGAGCTCAGGCTTTGCTCAGTCTGGAGAGCAGGAAGGGCCCAGGGACACACAGGGTGGGAATGATCAAACAGGAGGAGGAGGAGGAGCAGACAAATGTCTTGGGCAGGAAAGGTGGAAACCTTAATATTGCTCTGGAATGGAGACTAATGCCAAGCAAAATGCTCCTGCTCTCATGGAATAATAATAATGATGGAATTGCTGAGTGGGAAGGGATCCCCCAGTGCCAGCCCTGCCCTGCCCAGAGCCCACCAAGCCCAGCCTGGGCATCCCTGGCAGCTNATCCCATTCCCACATGGATCCCATTCCCACCTGATCCCATTCCCACCTGATCTCATTCCCACAAAGATCCCATTCCCAAATGGATCCCATTCCCACATGGATCCCATTCCCACCCAGGCTGTCCCACTTTAATGTGAGCAATTCCTTCATGTCTCCAGACCAGCCAAGCCCTAAAACCCGTGGAAATCTTTCCCCCAAATCCCTTTGTTCCCAGTCCCGTCCTCAAGAACAAGGAGTTGGCTGCATCCAAGGGGAAGAGGCACTGAATTTTCATTGCTAATAAAAATTTGGGATGTGTTCCAATTCAGGAATTCAGGAATTCAGGAATTCAGGAATTCAGGAATTCAGGAATTCAGCCTTTGTGCACACAGGGATTCAGGTACACGTACAGGAGGATCCCTCTGCAGTTACTCCCTCACACATGCTCAAATATAGAGGATAAAGGTAATTAATGAAACTAAATGAGAAAATACAAATACAAATTGCCTTTACTCTCTAAAACCTGCTTTTTTCCTTGGTTTCCATCAAAAATTGCTATTATTTTTCAGGAGAAAATAGACTTGTAACAGCAGCTTACCTTTGCTGTGTCCTTCCCTAAGGAGATTCAGGATTTTCCAGCTCCACTGGATAATGGGGTGAAACTCCCCAGAAAGAGCAGGGATGTGTTTAAGGAGCCTGCACGAGGCTGGGAGCAGGTGCCTGTGAAATAAGTGCCTTGCACTGCACTTATGTTTATATTAAATTAAAAGCTAAATCTAATCTCACCTGGAAAGTCAAATATTGGCTGACAGCTTGCATCAGTCATGCTGTCGGATCTGGGACTGAGCCTTTGTGCTGCCTGCTGCAAGTGCAGATACTGGAAAAGAGCTTTTCTGGGGATAAACGGCTGCAGCTCCATTCTTGGGGAGCCACAAGAGTAAAGATGAGCTCTGTAAAATAATTATAATAATATTAAGAATTACTAGAGGAGAATTCTTGACAAGCCCTGGCACAGGGTGCCCAGAGCAGCTGTGGCACTTCCAGGATGCCAGGATGGGGCTTGGAGCAAGCTGGGACAGTGGAATGGGATCATCTTTGAGGTCTCTTCCAACCTGAATCATTCCATGTTCCTACCAGCAGCACCAGCAGTGATGAGAACAATGATTTCCTTTGCTGATCTGGGCACAAGAAGTGAGCACTGAGCAGTCAGGCTGCTCAATACCCTAAGTTTGAGTTCCCTTCCCTTCCCTTCCCTTCCCTTCCCTTCCCTTCCCTTCCCTTCCCTTCCCTTCCCTAACCTTCCCTTCCCTTCCCAAACCTTCCCAAACCTTCCCTTCCCAAACCTTTCCAAACCTTCCCTTCCCAAACCTCCTCTTTCCTCTTTCCCCTTTTCCCTTTTCCCTTTTCCCTTTTCCCTTTTCCCTTTTTTTTCCTTTCCCCTTTTCCTTTCCCCTTTTTTTCCCTTCCCCTTTCCCCCTTTTGTTCCTTTTCCCCTATTTTTCCTTTCCCTTTTTTTCCTTTCCCTTTTTTTTCCTTTCCCCCCTTTTTCCCCTTTTTTTCCTTTCCCCTTTTCCCCTTCTGTTCCTTTTCCCCTTTCCACCTTTTGTTCCTTTCCTCCCTTTTTTCTTTCCCTTTTTTTCCTTTCCCCTTTTCACTTCCATACCCTAGCT